GAAGCATTTGCAGTTAACTTTCCTCTGCCTGGGGAAACTTTACTGAAGACTAAACCAACATTCATTTACATAACTATTGCTGTCTTTTCGAATTCATTTGTGTGACTACATTTAACAAATGGAGTTCATTAGGTCAAGTATAAAGAAAAAAAAAACACTTCTGATTGGCTATGCTTATCCTTCAATGTTCTGTGCTGACCAATCAAGTGTTATTTACTAAAAAAATGCACATGTTTATTTTTTTTGTTTTGTTTGGAATTTGTATTTTGTTGATATTGGAGATTTAAATAAATGGGGAAGGGGATAGACAGTTGTTGTCAAAACCTTTAAATGTTCATACAAGTTTTAAAAATATAGTTGAGATAAACTGTTACGCATGGAGAGCAGTGATGATTACTGTTCATAATTTAGCTTGTCATGAGACTGTGCACTCTTGACTTAAATAAAATTATGCACAAGTCTATCATACGAGCCCAATAACTAATGCACTGTCAATGTCAGGCTGGCTTTTCAAAATTGTACATCATGAATATTTTAGTGTGATAGTGTTCAAATTGTGAAGATCACTTGTTTTCATGGAATTAATCAACTTTGTGCTACTGGTATGTTACATGTAGTATCGGCTAATCTCATCTGCTAAATATTGGGTTTTACATAAGACAAATTGGATTAAGTTTAAGTCGCTAGATGTTGCACATAACAATTCTACAACTTCCAGTACACAGATATGCTGATGTAGTTACAGTTTAGTAATTACATGTCAAAGCAAACATTCCATTGAATAGTGGATTCCTGGTGAACATTTATACACTTACTTTAAATGTTTTTGTCATCCTTGTTTCTCAAGTGTGTTTCTTCATTTCGAGATTCATTTCCTGATTTATTGTAATATTGGTTTACTCAATAAATTATTTTTCATTTAAATGCCTATTTAATTAAAATAGTCTGCCCGAAGTATATCAATCATCCTGCATACTGTACAGAGATCATATCCTATTTTATAATACAATATTCTATGAAAGTCTTAATATTTATCACAGCAATTCAAAAGTGGTTGATTGACCTTTTGAAATAAAATTAGCATGTATCTAAATCATGGCGATCAACTTATGACTAAAACTTCCAGGTAGCTCGGGTGAATGTATGTGTCCCATTTCAAACCCATCTTTGGTAGTTTTTCAATGCAGCTTTATTCAATAATCTCGCATCGTTTCTTCCCAGGACAATTTGAAAACAGAGATTTAATTTGTGGTTTTCACTCTGGGGACCAGGACATTTTGTGTATATAAAGACAGTTTATAGAGGATTTGTCTAAACAAATTTTAAAACAATTTAGCCAACTGATTTTAAAATAGTAGCCATTCACAATTTCAATAACGTTCAAATGAACTAGTCTTCCTAGGTAAGGGTATTATCCGGTAGAAGTATGAAATACAACAAAGTATCCAATTTTATTTTTTGAAATCTTAAAAGTGGCTATTATGCAAACTAGATATTTAAAAAAAAAACTAACCATAGCGGTGGTTTGTTCTATCGCATTATCTGGGAGTAACTATTTCTATCGAAATTCAATGAGTGGTTCTTGAGGTATTGGGGACTGGGTAACTGCAAAAAAATAAATGCACACTAAATGTTTTTATAAGTACAATAATTTATTCGGACCAATCTAAATTAACTATATTAAAGAACAATGTTGGTACAAAACATTGAGGGCAGTATTATCCGTGGTGACAAGTATTGTTTTAAAGCTCAGATGCTACAGATTCTGAAATCCAATATGGAGACAAGATGAAATAATAATGAAATGACTTGATTGTGTTTTAAATATAACATAGATTACAAAGAACTGCACAATTAAATTAATCTATCCTTCTGTAAAATAATATCAAAACTCAGAGCAAAAGATATTATCTACGTCTACTT